GATGGATTAACACAGTGGCTGCAACAATGGGCTCAAACATAGCAACAATTTGTGAGGATGGCGCAGGACCAGGCAGTGTTTCGTTCTGTTGTACATAGGGTTGCTCTGAGTTGGAACCTACTTGTCATGGACTGAATTGTGTCCCCCCAAAAAAATGTGTGTAGCAACTTGGCTAGGTCATGATTCCTAGTACTGTATGATTGTGTTATCTGATGTGATTTCCTTATGTGCTGTAAATTCTATCACTGTGATGAGGTTATACCGATGCGGTTGACAAGATCAGTGTCTTAATGCAATCTCTTTTGAGATATAAAAGAGAGAAGCGAGCAGAGACACATGGGAACCTCATATCACCAAGAAAGCAGTGCTGGGAGCAGAGCGTGTCCTTTGGACCTGAGGTTCCTGTGCAGAGAAGCTCCCAGACCAAAGGAAGACTGATGACATGGACTTTCCTCCAGAGCTGATGGAGAAAGCGTTCCCCTGGATGCCCTGATGCCCTGAATTTCAACTTATAGCCTTCTGGACTGTGAAGACAATAAATTTCTGTCTGTTAAAACCATCCCCTTGTGGTACTTCTGTTAGAGCAGCACTAGATGACTGAGACACTACTTGACGGCACCTAACAACAACAACACAATAGGCCAGGCACACAAAGTCATAGTGAACGTGGTGTATAGTGAGTGCCACATACATGGCAGCTATGCCTCTTAGGTTTCTGACCAGTTCACCCACCTCTCAAGGCTTATTGTGCTCAGAGTTGACAGAAATCTCCTATCAGAGAATCCCCCCCAAAATTCTTAGGTTCTTTCCTCTCCCATTCCCCTTTTTGCTCTCTCCCTGCCAAAGCAAGAGTTCCTACTTCATAGACCTTCTGAAGAAAGCAATGACTTGTGGTTGCGGTCAGGGGTTCATTCCTGAGGGCTCTTTTTCAGAGACAGCAAGAAACTGTTTTCCTTTCCTACCACATCCCTCCCACACACACCATGACTGGAGTGAAGAGTAATTCTTCACATGGGGCATTTATATTTGATAAAAGAGGATCATGTCAATCTTGAGTATTTGAGCACCATATTTTAAGAGGGTCACTGATGAACTAGAAGTGTCCCACATGTTGTCCAGGATGGTGTGCAATCTTCAAATTAATGCTATTTGTGAAGTTGACCAGAAGGACTGGAGCTATTTTGCCAGGTCATTGAGGAGGTATATGACTGCTGTCCCCAAATCCTTGAAGGGCTTTGGCAGAAGGGAGGTAGGCTTACTTGCTGAGGACAAAACTAGTATCAATGAGAGGAAGTTAGAGGGGGCAGCTCCTAGCTCAGGGGAAGAGAGTTTCCAAAAAGAGAAGTCAAATATGGTATTGACACTGTCTTAGTTATCTAGTGCTGCTATAAAAGAAATACCACAAATGGATGGCTTTAACAAGCAGAAATTTATCTTATCACAGTTTAAGAGGCTAGAAGTCCAAATTTAGGGTGCCGGCTCTAGGAGAAGGCTTTCTCTCTCTCTCTGTCAGCTCTGGAGGAAGGTCCTTGTGTCTTTTGAACTTCTGCTCCTGGGTGATTTTCTTGTGGCTTGACATCTCTCTTCCCCCATTTCTGCTTCCTTTGCTTGCTTGTTTAATCTCTTTTATAACTCAAGAGACTAATTTAAAACACAGCCTACACTAATCCTGTCTCATTAACATAACAAAGACAACCCATTCCCAAATGCAATGATAGAGGTTAGGATTTACAACACATATTTTTGGGGAATACAATGTGAGATTGTGAGTGCCCCATCACTGGAGATTTTTTTTTTAAAGGCTGGTTGATCATCTGTCAGGTTATTAACAACACAGCAACGGCTATATGTGTAACGTTTGTTAACTGCTTACCTACCTTGTACCAGGGATCAGGCTAATTGATTCCTATGCATTACCTCATTTGGTGCTCAGAAGACTTGTTAGGTGGGTACTTTTATTATGCCCATTTTACAAATGAGGAAACTGAGGCACAAGGAGGTCAAGTAACTTGCCCAAAGTTTCACAGCTAATAAGTGCAGAGCTGGGATTTGAACTCATGAACTCTACATCCAAACCTAGTACTCTTAACCACTGTGTGAAGTTATAGGGACAATTTGTCCAGGATTTTCCAGGGCTGTGTAATTATCTGAATGAAAGAGCAATTGAAGGTTAAATGTACAGCAAAATACAATTTGATTTTGCATCCCTGTTTGACATGTCATCCAAAAATGCAAATCAGAAAAAAAAAAACAAAAAAACCCACCAACCTTTGGTTGGGTCAAGCAGAATGATTTCTGGTTTGTGAACAGTAGGAGATCCCTACATTAGGTAGTTCAAACGCAAAGCACTCCCAGTCCTCGGATTCTGTAATTAATAGGATGCTGTTGATGATTTACTATGAGGCAGCACACAGGAATCCAATGAAGAACTCTGTGTCACCAGAACTCTGGCGACAGCTTTGGCCCAACCAATGATGACCAAGCTCTGAAACCCATGGAAACTACCGGAGGGGAGGGAGAGAGCCATCTGGAGCCAGTCAGTTCAGTTCACATGTTGGACACCTACCGTGTACTTTAGCAACTTGCACTGTATTGTCATCAAGTGCTAATTTCCTATATATATAAAAGAGCTCCTACAAATCAATAAGAAAGATCATAAAAAAGGCCAACAACCTACATTAAAAGTGGGCAAAGGAATTATGCAGACAGTTCATAGACCAGGAAATGCTGTCTCATACTTTTGAAAAGATGCTCCCTCTCACTCAAAGTAGGGGAAATTCATTTTAAAATTACAAGGAGCTGCCATTTTCACCTTTCCTGTTGTCAGAGACCACAAATTGGATCACATACTATGTTGGCAGAAGGCATGTGAAAATAAGCCGTCTCTGGTTTTGCGTGGTGGAGTATAAACTGATATAATCTTAGGGGAGAGCAGTTTGTCAATATCTGTGAAAATTAAAATTGCAAGTACCCTTTGACCTTTGATCAAGTCATTCTGCTTCTAGGAATATAGCCTACTTCCATACGTGTGGTACGGCAGATGTTCAAGGTTATTCACTGCAGCAAAAAATTGGAAACAACCTAAATGTCCATCGAAAAGGATGGGTAAAGTAAATTATTACCCTTCATACAATAGAATAATATGCAGCTGTTAGAATGAAGATGCTCAGTATGTGCGGATACAGTCTCCAACATGGTGGTTAAGCATGTAAAGCAGTATGTATAGTATGCCTCATCTGTGTTTAAAAAGAAAAAAGAGTATACGTACATATATATATATATGTACGTATATATATGGCCTTGAATAACTGCAAGTAGAGGCCAGAAGCTGGAAACAGGCAACATGGTCACTCCAGTGACATCTGTGGAAGAGAACCAGATAGCTAGGGCAGAGAGACTTGCTTTCCACTATGTATCACCTTTACCTGTTAAATTTAGTACCATTCAAAAGTAGAGCTTATAGTCTAGATGGCTCAGTGGTTAAAAGCTCGGCTGCTAACCAAAAGGTTGGCAGTTCAAATACACCAGCCACTCCTTGGAAACTCTATGTGGCAGTTCTACTTGGTCCTGTAGGGTCACTATGAGTTGGAATCTACTTGACTGCAACAGTTTTGTTTTTGTTTTTTGTTTTTTTAGTCTAGAAGGTGAGAAATATAACAGAAACACTTAGCCCAATACCATGTGTTCAGTGCCATGGGATCTTAGAAGAAAGGTGTCTAGCACAACCCAAAGGGATCAGCGATGGCTTCAAAAGAAACCATACCCCAAGGAAGAAAGTTACTTCTGCTAATTTCTGAAGAGCTGTGCATCTTCTCCTGAGCATTGGTTTGTTTTTATCTTATGAACAGTCCTGTGAATTAATTCATTGATCAGGCTTCCCTTGGCACACTGGCTGTTAAAAAGCTGTGATCCAAATTTGTGTCCCACCCCTGTACCAGTGGGCAGAGTTCTACAGTTAGTGTCCAGTGCCTGGTTCCATTTTACATCCCTGACTTCTGTTTTGCGTTTCCACCCGTTTCTAACGTTGGTCAACTTTGCTTATTATATGCTTCTCTGTAAGCCACTGTACATCCTTTCTTGTATAAGAAGTTTAAGTAAGTGGGGGAGTTGAAAAGGAAGGAGGGGGACAGAGGAAGAAGGACAGGAAGAGATCATGAGTCATGGGTGTCATTGTACTTGGCTCCGTCGGGTAGATTATGTAAACACTTCAGTGCAGTGGTTTTCAAAGTGTGAACCCTGGACCAGCAGCATCAGCATCACCCATGAGTTTTGATAAAAATAAAAAATTCATGGGCTGCACCCAACCTGCTAAATCAGGCTCTCTGGGGATGAGGACCAGGGAAGTCTAACGAGCTCTCTGGGTGATTTTCATGCACACTAAAGTTTGAGAACCACAGACAGAACCAAAGGAAGGTTGATGTCTAAACATAAATACTCTCCATTTGGCCTCATTGTACTCATTGTATTGGTCAAGGTAAGTAAATGCTAACTGCTGAAATAAACAATCCCCCAAATCTCAATAGCTTAACACAATAAATGTTTCTTTTTTGCTCACGTCACAGTCCAGCGTGGCTCAGTGGGGGTGGGGGTGGGGGTCTGTGTTATTCATTTATTCAGTGGACAGGTACCTTCCGATGGTGACTTTGCCATCTTCTAGGTCCTTGGACTCCTTCTCTGGATCCGCTGCATCCAAGAAAGCAGGAGAGAGAGGGGAGGTTTTAGGAGCCAGATCTGGAAGTAACATCCTCCTCTTCTACCCATGCTGCCCATGATTCATTGGTTGGAACACAGTCACATGGCCTGCCTAACTTCAGGGGCACCTGGGAAATATGGCCTCTCTGTGGAGCTAGGAGGAAAGGAAATGGTTTTGGTGAACACGTAGCACTGTCTCTGCAACACTCATGAACCTGTATCCCAAACTCCACTTGTCAAGTTTTGGTGAAGACTGGTTTTCAGTTTTGTTTTCTAATCAAGTTTTACCTTTTCTTTCTCATCTCCAGCACTATGGGACTGAAAAGCACTCTCTTTGTGACGGCCCTCCTGCTCTCTGGTAAGAACCCTCTGGCTTTGTAAAAACCCACTGACTCCCGATGAGGCTGAACTCTACAAGTCCGGGCCTGAGACTTGGTGGGTTTTACTCACTTTCTATCCAGGGTTGCACAATACCACATGCAAAGAAGTCTTTCCTGGAGAAGAAGAAAGTGTAATGATCGAGTCCAGGTATCTCAGCTGGTGGCAGGCAGGGCCAGCCAGGGATGAAGGCCCTACTGCTTGGATGCATCATCTTCCTCTGCCATCTCACACCCGTGGTCCTGGATGCACAGAGCAGGGTAGACTGGACTGTTGAGCAGTGCCTAGGGAGGCAGACCAACACCACTGAAGCTTGATCCTTTTGCTCCACACATACTCCCTTCTGGTCTTCTCTATCCGCATCTCTGGCTTTCTCAGGCCCTTAGGAAACAGCTGGCAGACTTCCAAAGGTCTCCTTCCACTAGGAAGCATTGGTCTGCATGTTCTCTGCCTTCCCTCTCCCCCTCCGCTGCCTTCTCCACCAGTCCACCCCCTCAGACCACAGTTGCACCTCTGCTACTTCCTACTTCAGTGACGTTCAGCTAGTCCCATCAGCAGATGCATCATTCGGCGAATGAAGCTGAAGCCTCAGGGCCCCTCACTTGCACAAGCCCTTTCCAGAGTCCCTTCTAAGACTGCATGGGCGGCCCTGGCAGAGTAGTCACATGGCTTGTGTTTTGGTCAAGTTTGGATAAGTACGATATTTTAACCACAGTGAGTTAAGACCCCTTTCCCTTCCATCGCAACTTTCTCTCCTACCTTCCCCTCCTGTTGTGGGGCCGGGTAGTGGCTATAGGCCTTTTGTATTTGTAATTTTGTATTCTGTTTCTTAAACGCCCCCTCCCGAGTTTTATAAGCTTCAGGCCCCACAAAATTTGGACCTTCCCTGTTCGCTGTGTCTCTCTGAGTTTCAGTTTCATCATCTGTGAAATGGAGTTGGCTGAGGTCCCCGCCATGCATCCTGTGACTCTGTGCCTTTCAGTTTCTCCTGGCCCACCCCTTCCTGCTGCTCATTTTCTCAGCCTCATCGTGGAGAGGGAAGCCATCCCAGTCATGGTGAGAGGCAGACGGGGAGGCTCGACTGAGCCTGCAGTGTAGCTACAGCAGCACGCAGGCCACCGCCAACTAACCGGGCCAGCCACACGTTGGCGTCCTCCAGGTCACCACAAACCAGGCCCTTGGCCCCTGTCTTAGTCATCTAGTGCTGCTATAATAGAAATACCACAAGCGGATGGCTTTAACAAAGAGAAATTTATTCTCTCACAGTCCAGCAGGCTACAAGTCCAAATTCAGGGTGTCATCTCCAGGGGAAGGCTTTCTCTTCTCTGTTGGCTCTGGAGGAAGGTCCTTGTCATCAGTCTTCCCTTGTTCTGGGAACATCTCAGCCCAGGAACCTCAAGGTCCAAAGGACGCGCTCTGCTCCAGACAGTGCTTTCTTGGTGGTATGAGGTCCCTCCTCTCTGCTTGCTTCTCTCTTTTATATCTCAAAAGAGATTGGCATAAGACACCATCTAATCGTGCAGATTTCTTCAATGTAACTGCTGCTAATCCATCTTATTACATCATAGTGATAGGATTTACAACACATAGGGAAATCACCTCAGATTACAAAATGGTAGACAATCATACAATACTGGGAATCATGACCTAGCCAAATTGACAGATATTTTGGGCGACACAATTGAATCCGTGAAAGCCCCTGTCCCATTTCAGCCGTGGGTAATGAGGAGCCAGGGTAACAGGGAGAGATGATCCCTCATACAGATGGTGGTCATCACATGCCTTTTGTGCTTTCTGTTTTCTGCTTAGCACCTAGGAACTTGTTGAGTCTATGAGCGTGAGGTCTATAGATGTGTTAACTGATCACTTCATCTATTTAGGTAGCAACAGCAGCTTCCACCTCCCAGGGCTGATGATCTGCTACTTTAGCTCTTGGGGACATGGAAAGTGTGTGTGTGAGAGAGAGAGGAGAGACAAGACTCTGGCAAACATTATCCAGCAGGACCCCCTTCCCATCTGGCCTCTAATTTTACTAGACAAATACATACGTAGCACGTACTCTGTGCCACGTACTGTTCTAAGCACTTTATGAATATTAACTCACTGAAACATCACAGTAAGTCTGTTAAAAGTAATTAACTCATTGCTTTAGATCTCGTTATTATCCCCATTTACGTATGTGGAAACTAAAGCCAAGAGCAGGTGAGTAATTTGTCCAGGATCAACACAGTAAAGGGATGCTAAAGCCACTCTGCTGGATGTGAATCCAAGCTCTGCCAACCATTACTATGTTGGAGCTCTGGTGGTGCAGAGGTTAAGAGCTTGGCTGCTGACCAAAAGGTCGGTGATTCGAATCCACCAGCCGCTCCTTGGAAACCCTATGGGGCAGTTCTCCTCTGTCCTGTAGGGTCACTATGAGTTGGAATCGACTTGATGGCAACGGGTTTGGTTTTCTGGTTTATTGCTATATATAGGAGCCCTGGTGGTGCAGTTGTTAACAGCTTGGTTGTTAATCAAAAGGTCGGCCGTTTAAATCCATCAACTGCTCCTTGGAAACCCTATGGTGCAGTTCTGCTCTGTCCTATAGGGTTGCTATGAGTCAGAATCGACTTGACGGCAATGGATTTGTTTGTTTGTTTGTTTTTGGTCATTTAACATTATGCTGCTTCTCCTAACCCTTGCTGGTGAACTACCCATAAGTGGTAGGATTTCTCCCTTGGGGACCTGAGTGGCTTCTGCGGGTAAAGTTGCTTCTGCCTTACCCATGTTCACAAGCTCCCCACCAGCACACCCTCTGCCTTTCCTGCAGCCAGCACCTTGGCTGTCCCAAAAGCTTGGGCCCCAGCCCTCCTCATCACATGACCAGCCCAGCTCCTAGGACCTGGGAAAGAGGAAGGAAAAATGCACTGAACACAAATTATCAGAAAAGATTGAACTGAGACACCACTTCCCCCTAGTGCCCTGATTTTGCAGACTGGGAGTGAGAAAGCAAAGCCAAGAAACTCCACCAAAACTGGCTCCAGGTGTCAGTTTTGCCCTTGCCTTGCCTTTGAAACTCTGCTTGGAAAGTTCTGAGCTCCTGCAGAGAGAGTTGTCAAGACCGAAACCTTGAAAATAACTCTCCCAACTGGTAATTATTTGTGTATTACGGTGATGAGAGAATAAGCAATTATATTTGGGGCAGTAAAAATTAAAAGTGGGATAGGAAAATGGCGACATTTGAGTAGAAAAATATCACACACTATTAAACACACACACGCACAGAGACTTGATTCTTTTTCTAAAGAATTGAAGGGATCAGTCTGAGTTTTGTCCGTCTTTGTTAGTGCACACCTCTGCTTTCCAGGCTGAATAATGAACTGGTCACAGGGCAGGCATCCAAAGGGAGAAAAGAGATGCAATTGGCTCAGATGATCCACAACAAAAAACGCAGCACTGAATAATTCATTTGATGGCAGAGACAAACAGTAGAGTGAAACAAGTCTGTTTTCCCTTCCCTGCACCCCCATATCTTTGGTGTTCTCGCTTACTCATGGAAATTAGACAGGATAGTAGCTGCTGCTGCTCTTGAGGCTAAAATGGGATGAGAGCTGAAGATTGAAAAGGGGCCTTGCAGAATCAGGTTACAATTGTGCTTTGTATTTACAAAGCTAAAGGAATTTTTCTGCAGCCACTTGCAGAGAAAAACGAAATAAAAAAACCCGTTGTCATTGAGTCAGTTCTGACTCATGGCCATCCCATGCATTACAAAATAGAATTGCTCCATAGGGTTTTCTTGGCTGTAATCTTTACAGAAGCAGTTCTCCAGGCCTGTCTTCCCCTGTGCCGCTGGGTGGGTTCAAACCTCCAACCTTTAGGTTAGTAGTCCAACACAGTTTGCACCACGCAGGGACCTGCCACTTGCAGAGGCACCTCTAATTGCCGAGCTTGGTTTGCTGCTCTTCTGGCTTCTCTTTAACACTTCAGGACTGAAGCCAAAGAGTGGTTCTTAGAAAATCAGTAGCTCAGGCACCAGGAGGAAGTATCTTTCCAGTTTGACTTTTGGTAGTTTTTTCTGTTTTTTGTCGGAATGTCCTCTGAGTCCTGGGGTTTCTTGTTTCTCTTCAATAATATTTCTGGTTCAATTAATGTACCTTCAGTAGTACTGGAGGATTTTCTTCATCTTAAGATTTACATAAAATTGGCTCAATCTCTCACTCCTCTTTCTGTGGAATGGTCTGATGTTTTCCCTCAGATTTCTGCAGGTTCCTCCAGGGGTGGTTGCATAAAGATTGTTTATGTGGCTACTTTTGGCTCCCATTTCCTACAGCTGTTGATAGTGGTCACCAAAATCACTACCTGGAGGTGAATAAACAGTTCCGACCTATTGTTCCTAAGGAATTGTCACAGAGCCTGATAGTTCTCCTATTAGGTGGTACAAACAATGTATACTGTACTATTAACCTGAAGGTTGACAGTTAGAAGCCACCCAGTGGCATTGAAGAAGAAAGATCTGGTGATCAGCTTATCTGCTTCTTTAAAGATTACAGCGAAGAAAAGCCTATGGAACAGTTCTGCTCTGTTACATATGGGATCAGTTGCCATGAGTCCAAATCGACTCAACAGCGATAGGGTCTTCTTTTTTTTTTTTTTTTTGCTTTGTTTTGTTGTGGTAGTACAAGACAGAAGTTAGCAATTTTTGTTTTTCCCATCATTTTTTCACTAATGGAAGAGCCATATCTCAGCCCTGATTTTTGGTATTAGGTTTTATTCTTTTCCCATACTTTGCAGGGAGCTCTTTTTATTCTCATCTGCGTGGCGGAGCTGAGTTTCTGAATCTCTCTGCTGCTTTCAGACCCAGAGGCCAGGGGGCCCAAGACTTCAACCTCTGTTCACTGCTTGTTTATTTCTTATTCACAACCAAGTTTATCATGATTTTAAGCCCAGTGGTGTCCTTTATTTTTTCCCTTTTTTGTGTGTTTTATCCCTTGCTGCTGTGTG